CAAATGAGATAAATACACCAGAAGACAGTAACAGAAATTAAAATATTATTAAATAAAACAATATCAGACGTTATAGATCAAATAAAAACACTAGGCTCAAAAGTGAAAGAAACTGATAACATGGTTAAAGTCAATACTGTAAAATTATACTGGTATGAAGTCAAGTTTACTGAAACTGATTTTAATAAATTGTTTGATTTGGAAGATAGAGGATGGAAGGAAAATGTGAAATTGCATGGGTTCCCAGAAGGTGGTGCTGAAGATGGAATAAATCTTACAGATATGATATTGTAATGTATCAAGACAGTGACATCAAATTTGGGTTTGGTTCAAGACTTGTAGAGATTGCACTGAAGGGAACTCAAGCAGTGTCAGTGTCAGAGGACTCCTATTGTTAGGTTTGCAAATTTATAGAAGGAAAAAAATCGTTTGGACAGCTGTATAGAGATGCACTGATCAAGGTGTACCAGGATCTTTATTATCAAATGGAGTCACTGTGACACAATATGACTGGTCACCATCATCCTCCCAAAGACTAAATTAGATACATTTTGGGGTACCCAATATACTTGAGAATTTTATATGCTGGAAAATACTACAGGATTACATCATTGGATCACAATTTAAATTTGCTTCATGAGTGGGGTTTGATGGATAATCAACAAGAGAGTGCCAAAATGGATAAGCAGAAGCAAGATTAGTCTATTACTTCAGAGGGAAAAATTCAAGAGGATCAAGAAGGAGCTATTGTCAGAAGATTGTTGGATTGGTCTATCAACCCAGGGGGAGATGTATTTGAGTCTTAAACCTGTCAATAAATTAAGACGCTATAAAGGGGAAGTCATTTTATTTATTTATTTATTTATTTAATTTATATGCCGCCCACACTACCCAAAGGTCTCTGGGCGGCTTACAGCATTTAAAATACAATAAAGATATGTAAAAATTAAAATACAATTAAAATATATATAAAATTGCCATCGGACCCACAGCTAATACTATTTCAGTTAAAAGCCTTCTGGAACAGGAAGGGTTTGACCTGGCGCCGAAATGTCATCAGTGTCGGCGCCAGATGACTCTCAGTAGGGAGGGCATTCCATAGTCTGGGAGCAGCTGCCGAAAAGGCCCTTTGTCTACAAGCCGTCCCTCTTACCTCCTTGAGGGACGGCTCTTTCAAAAGGGCCCCCTGGCTAGATCTTAACTGACGGGTAGGCTCATATGGAAGGAGGCGGTCCTTCAAGTATTCAGGAACCAAGCCGTTTAGGGCTTTATATGTCAAAACAAGCACTTTGAATTGGCCCCGGGCAGCAACTGGTAGCCAATGTAACTTATACAGAATCGGCTTGATATGTTCCCTGGCGGCCACACCCCTCACCAGCCGTGCCGCTTGATTCTGGACCAGTTGCAGTCGCCGGACCGTCTTCAAAGGCAGCCCCACGTAAAGCGCATTGCAGTAATCTATACGGGATGTTACCAGTGCATGTGTAACTGTCATGAGACTCCGCTCGTCCAGGGAGGGCTGTAGCTGGTATAGTTTCTGCAGCTGGAGGAAGGCGCCCCTGGCCACCGAGTCCACGTGGGCTTCCAGTGTTAGACAGGGGTCCAGGAGCACCCCCAAGCTGCGGACCCTGTCCCTTAGGGGGAGTGTAACCCCATTCAGGGCAAGGAGATGGCCCTCCAGCCTGTCTGGCGAAGCACCCACTAACAGCACTTCTGTCTTGTCTGGATTGAGGTTCAATTTATTGACCCTCATCCAGCCCATTATCAGGTCCAGACACGCGTTCAGCACAGAAACCGCCTCACCTGGATTGGTGGAAAACGAGAGGGAGAGCTGAGTGTCATCAGCATATTGCTGACTCCTCAGCTCGGGCCTCCTGATGACCTCTCCCAGCGGTTTCATGTAGATGTTAAACAGCATGGCGGACAGTATCGAGCCCTGAGGAACCCCATGACATGAATGCCATGGGGCAGAGCAACTGTCCCCCAGCACCACCCTCTGGACACGGTCAGCTAGGAAGGAGTGGAACCACCGTAAAACAGTGCCCCCAACTCCCAACCCAGCCAGCCTATCCAGAAGGACACCATGGTCGCTGGTGTCGAAAGCTGCTGAGAGGTCCAGGAGTATCAACAGGGTCACCCTCCCCCTGTCTCTCTCCCGGCAAAGGTCATCGTACAGGGCGACCAAGGCAGTCTCTGTACCAACACCCGGCCTGAAACCCGATTGAAATGGATCCAGAAAATCCGTTTCATCCAGCAGCGCCTGGAGTTGCCCAGCCACAACCCGCTCCAACACCTTGCCCAAATAAGGGAGGTTCGCCACTGGTCGGTAGTTGACCACCGGCCTTGGGTCCAGGTTTGGCTTTTTGTACATAAAACTTTCTAATCAAATAAGAGGATAAGAAAATATATGGGATTTAGAAAGTTATTATAATAGATTATCTTAAGAAACTTATTAAGTACATATTCAGCTGTTAGTAGCTAGAATTTATAGAGATAGGAAGTCCGACTAATAGATTATAATAAAGTTTAGATAAGATGAAGATACCACTTAAACAGGGTGGGGCAGAAGGGGATAAAATAAGAAGTTTAGATAAAATGGGGTTATTATTTGAATATATATAGGGAATAGAAGACAAGTGAAGTAAGGGGATAGGAAATAATGGTGGAAGATTGGGTGGCTGTGGGGAGCTGCTAGCCTGGGGAAAGTGGGTGGTTCCTCCCCTTCCTACAAGAGTTTGTGATCAAACAATAGGGTATTGAAATCCTAGTGGATTAAGGGGGAAGAAATAAATATGTATTGGAGTGGTGTGTTTGGAAGAGGTTGATTCATTTGTTTAGGGATGGGGTGTTGTTTGTGATGTTATGGGTATTTAGAGGGATTTTCACAATATAAAAGACAGAAGGGAGAAATGGTGGTAGATAAATATGATTAAAATATTGAGAATATCAAATGTATCTGTAAAAGTCTTTGGGAGAGTTATAAGGAAGAAAAGAATAGAGGTGTTGTTAAATAAGGATAAAGCAGGTGCAGTAGTTTTACAAGGGGCTTGCCAAACAAAAGAAGGCATAAATGAACTTAAATTAAGTTGGTTTAATATTTATGAAAAAGCTTGTGGAAATAAAAGGACAAGAGGGGTTGCACCCATTATTTTTAAGAAATATGATTTAAAAGTGAATAAACTGAAAAAAGATAATGAAAATAGATGGTACAAAGAGTAATGGGGAGAAGTATATACTTTGATATTTACTCTCAGAATGTAAATCAAGTTAGTTTTTTAAGGAAGTGTTTAAAGAATTGGAAGAGATAAGAAAGGGGTTTGTAATAATGGCAGGGGATTTTACTATGGATAAAAATAAATAAATCAAGCCCTATTAAAGCTTAGAAAAATAATAATGTTACGGTTCTGAACAGAATGATAAGGAGAACTGATTTGAGAGATGTTTGGAGAGTGAAGAAAGGAGATGAAAAGAAATTGACTTTTTATTCTTCAGTTCATAAAAGTTACTTTAAACTAGATTATATAGGTAAAGGTAAAGGGTCCCCTTGACAATTAGTCCAGTCGTGTCCGACTCTAGGGGGCGGTACTCATCCCCATTTCCAAGCCATAGAGCCAGCGTTTTGTCCATAGACAAACTTCTGTGGTCATGTGGCCAGTGCAACTAGACACGGAACGCCATTACCTTCCCACCGTGGTGGTACCTATTTATCTACTTGCATTTTTACATGCTTTCAGACAGCTAGGTTGGCAGGACTCTATACTTGTATCTAAAAATTTGATTTCAAGAGCGACTAATACAGATGTTGGTATTAGAAAAGCAACTTTTATTACTGACGACAAGGCCACCGTTTATGTAGCATGTCACTTTTTTAAAAAACAGCCTTCCCCCTAGTACATTTCATCTTATTTCCATTTAACACAGAAACCCTCCCTGTCACAACTGAGCGTTCTTTTCAACTTTTTCACACTTGAGAGATGACTCATGTGAAGTGAACAGTTACCCAGAGTTCTCTACCACTAGAAAATCCTCCCTGCTAACAAACACAAACGGTGCTCGCATCTTCCTCTTCCAATGCCTTCTAAATTGGGGTGGTGGTGGAGACATTTTCTGATTAGGAGTTCTTTGCAGTTCCACTCCCAACAGAGCTGTCTGCTTCCTACGTAACAGCCAGATCACACAGGCACAGGCTGCAATGCAAACACTTTTGTACTACAACCTGCAGCGCTAGAGACAGGACGGATTGCAGGCCCATTCCCTGAAGTCAAGCTCTAAATTAATCCCCTAATCCAGCTCCCTTTGCTTTAGAAAATTAAAACAAAAATAAAAACCAAACAAACTGGCTCACTCACTGGAGAACTCTTGAACTCAGCTAGCAAGGAGCTCTTTCTTGCATGTGACAAAGGAGACCATTGCACTCAAGGGTGGTTCTGCTCTCTCCTACCCCATCTTTTTTTTATCCTGTTGCTGCTGTTAGAGATGCCGCTAATGAAAGCAGCTACAGTAAGTGCATTCAGAGAGTTCTCAGACAAAGGGAACAACAAACATCCAAATCAGGCAAAACATTCCTCATGAAATTTCAGGTTAGGCAAATTTTCAGTCAAGGAGACAAATCCTACACCTTGCCAATTTTATTTTACCCAGCAGGATTTACAAGACAGACATCTGGTACACAAAAAGATAGAGAGTTAGTCAAGCAAACAGTGGGAGAGGGAGGCAGAAATCCATGCTGGAAGTAGGCTACATTTTTGAACAGACAACAATTTTGATGCTCTTGGGAGTCCCTGGAATGCCTCAATATAGGGGGGAAAAACAAATTGGGGCAGAAAAGAAAACAGAGCCTGGATATACAGTGACACTGAAACAATGTACTTGTTTAAGGCTCTATAAATGACAAACAGAGCTAGCAATAGCCCCCCCCCCAATGCCGGCACAGAGCAGACCACAATGCAAGTCTGGCCTAGGATGTCTGCCTTTTGTTCTCTAGGACAGTGGTACCCAACCTTGGGCCTCCAGATGTTCTTGGACTTCAACTCCCATAAATCCTGACCAGCAGAGGTAGTGGTGAAGGCTTGCATTCATATGCAAGCCTCCATTACCACCAAGCCCATGAGACTCCAGTAGCCCTCTGCAGTTAACACAGAGATGGCAGCAGGCTCAGCAGCACAGCTGACACCTCATGATGGCCAAAACACACTCTTCTCCCTAGTGAGAAAATGAGGTGTTTAGGACCAAGTCTGTTTGGATAGGCCTTGGGAAGTAGAGAGCAGGCTCTCTTTTCCCTTAGCAGCCAACCTAGAAGGCTGCAACTGCAGAGCCCTTCCAGCATTTACTTGCCCTCAACCCACCTCTTGCACTCGAGAGCCAGAGAGACTCACTGCCCATCCATTCAAATGGTAGTTAGCCATCTACAACAGCAGCACAATGACCACCACTACCACTGCCACTGCATGTACCACTTCTGCAATATATATATATATTGCAAAATATATATATTGCAATATATATAACAAGCCATAGATATAGACATATATAATACCTTGACTGCTGTAGAAACTGCTGCCCTATTCTAAGCACATTTGCTCAGGGAGGAATGGACCTGGTATTTTTGCCAGAAAAGACAAAATGCTGCAGCTGTAGATTGGGTGATGCCAGCTAAATTAGGGATTGGAACTGGGCACTCCATGGACTGTGGAAAGCCCACCAAGACATCCATTATGCCCCTGGGACAGATCACTCTGATCACTAAAAGAAGGGGAAAGCCCTCAAATGAAGAGCCATGCCCCTACGAGAGGGTGTAGCCCACAAATGCTTTGCTATTGACTACCCCTGAGCTAAACAGATAGGTGGCAGCAAATTCTCCAGCTGGATAGTAAACACACTTCTGAAAAAGTATGATTCGGTTGCCCCCCACCTCCCTTCTGTCTGTCAGAATACTACATGTTTTCTTTCAGAACATCTGGCCTAGAAACAATGCAAAACAACACCTGCCAGTGTCATGAGTCCATTATGACATTATCTCTCATAGAAGGAAGGAGTCCATGATTAGTGGTATCTTCCAGTCTTCATTGTACTATACATCCTCTACCTAATGCCCAGAGTTCAGGCAGTCCATAGCATTTTTGCAAGGGAATCTATACTGTTTGAATAAAATGTATTTTAAATTAAACACATGGAACAACAAAAAGCTACAGAAAGACACATTTTAAACATGGCCCACTTAGGCATGTGTAGTAGAATCCACATTATTTTTATAACAATATTACAGCAGTGAGGGAGCCAATTCTACTTAAAAGAACATAATGAGACCATTTTTTTTTGTCTAACGTGGGGTGACTTACTGCATCTTTTTCTGGGTTGCAGACTTTTACCCAAAGGATATGATCAAGGAGCCAATCAATGGGTTTGTCCTTATAGAACATGAGTATGAATTCCACAATCAGACTAAGATCCAGTGACTTGAACATCTTCCCTGAAAGCATATTAGGATGGAGAAGAACAAGAGTTAAGCACAATCACAACGCTGACATGACCCAACATTGAAGAGTGAAAATTATTTATTGGATTAAAGTGTGGGGTGGGGGAGAGCTCATCTCTTCCTTGCCCTAAACATTTTCTAAGACTGTCCTTTTTTTAAAAAATGCATTTAAATCCATTGATAAAAAGGGAATTTGCATCCATTCAACAATAGCACATTGCTAACACTCAACACATTGTTGTGACTCTTCTGTATGCGCTCAACTAGACAAGGCAACTTAAATGGAGTGCGGCTCTGAAAGCGGTCACACCAGCTGGGCTCTCTTTAAAGCCAGTCCCGCCCACCATTTTTCAGGAGAAGGCAATGCTGCTCAAGTGTGTGTTGTTTTGGTACTACACTCCGTTGTACTGAGTTCTCCCAGTTCCAATCTAATACGTTGTCAGTCCCCTGCAAGTGACAGAAAGAGCTACCCTCTGATTTATCCATTGCCACTGGAGAATCATAGTAGATTAACACTTCTTTTTCCTTCTAATGCCACAGACAAGTTTGTATATGAAACACCTGCTCCTCCCTGCTTGTAACAAGAGCTTCTTTGGATGCTTGGCCTGTTTAACAAGCCACAGCAATAAAACATTTATGTCACATAAAAAATAAAGGGAAATTAGAGATGCCTGCCATTGCTGTATGTTGTCAGTATTTTGAACTGTCCCCAGAGAGTGGAAGAAGGCAATTTTGTGCACCAAAGTTGTGCAACTGAAAATTATGACAATACTTTCTTGTTCCAGAATGCTGGAACAGAAATGCCCATTATCATACTTCAGGATCTGCAGTACATTCAGCATAGGTTTAAGCAAAATGCATTTAAATGGGAGCAGGGAGGAATACATGAAAGGGATCTTACCAATAAACCCAAGCTGTGAGAACTCCAAGATCATCCATTCTTCAGATGGTTGTTGCAGAGCAAAATTCTTCATTGTACTGAGATAGTTTGGTTTGGCTATGATATCATCTTCCAGCTGCACAACAGAGGGAGATGTCAGTGCTCAGGAAAGAATATGTACACCATTGAAGAAAAACTCTTTGCTACAAAGCATTCCAACAAGGGAAGATGGGTAAGAAACATCTGGCCAGGGGAAAAATCTTACTGAGGAAAAAAAAAAGCCAGCCTTTCTAGCATTTCATTCAATAAATACAGGAAAGAAACAAGCCGTGCAACATACCAAAACGGTGTAGTCAAACAGGACATTTTTCCCAAGGCCCTAGTCAGCTACTAGAAATAGGTCATGTTATCACAGGCCATGGTACCGCGCAATACAGTATTGCACCAGCAGCAATTTCTAAATCCAAATTTTCTTGCGAAGTGAAGACCACACAGTGCCAAAGCAGATGGGCTTGGTTTCTAATTAAAATGTCTCGTATACCACCTTGGTTTAAAACAACAATTTCCCTATCTAAATCTAAACAGATGTCACATTGTCAAGCGAAGATGGAACGTCATGAGAAGGAAAGGGGCAAGACAGTCAAAATGATCAGACTTCCTTCACTGAACAACTGGATCCAAAATAAGGAACCTTATGTTCCTATCTAAACCACATGCCCATTTTTGTCCTTCTAACCTCCCCCCCCACACTTTCTAGATTTTCTTTCCATCATGTTTCCATCCCATGGATGCAAATCCAAGGTTCCTTGCCTAGAGCAATGGGTTATATCACATACACTTCAGCAGATGTTAAGCTTACCTGAACATAATAAATGCCTTTGGATTGTGCATACATCATTAAAAAGCAGTAATCTAGATTTTGTTTAGTCCTCCATCTATAGTGGCAAAGGAAAGAGAAAGCTGTTACTTTGTTGGCAGGCCAGAGGTACTCTCTTCAGAGTAACAGTACAAATTCCAGAGAACATACAGAATCCAGAAATAATGTAATTCTAGGGTGTTAAATGGAAGCTGAGCCATGGCAACTGGACTTCTTTTTTTATTAGACTGAAACATTTCTCTACTAATTCAAGTAGCTTCTTCAGTCCAAGGATAGTTGGTAGGAGACCCCTGATATATCCTCCAAGTTGGTTTCAGTTTTCCCTGGTCTGAATAGGCTGGGGACTCCTTAGATGGACAAAGGCCAGGGGGGGGGAGCTGAATGAAAATCCCACTTGTGTCTAAGAGAAGATAGGTAGTTTGAGAGAGGGGTCAGGAAGGCCATACATGTGCATACAGAAAACCCCTAACTCAACATGGAGGCCTTAGACACAATCTGTCTCCTATTTATCATGCTGCCCTTTCATCCATCCCCAGAAAGATCAGGACTACACCCACCAGAAAGACCATTGTTAAGGGATGTTAACGACCCATGACAATAGGTGGAGAAGGACTGCAGAAGTGGGATTTTCACTCAACTCCCCCCCCCTTATCCATCTAAGGAGCCTATTCAGACCAGGGGGGAGTGAAACCAAGGTGGAAGATATATCAGAGGTCTCCTGCCAACTCTCCTCAGACTGAAGAAGCTACCTGGAAGAGTAGTGAAACATTACAACATAATAAGAAAGAAGTCCAATTGCCACGACTCAGCTTCCAAATAACGTCACCTCGATAACTGAGAATCTTCACATATATCTGGGGGTGTTAAGGAATTGTCGATCTATAGTATATGCATGGCTAACAAATTGGATTCAATGATTTTTCAGAGCATATTTAAAAATGTAAAATTTCATCTGCAGTGCCCTGATCCATACTGGAGCCACAGGGTGTGTATTTGCATTTGTATATTGCATGTCTGTTGCCAATTGGGAAATAAATAAAGAAATACAGTGTGCCTATTTCAATGTATTTGCAATGCATATACAGACTAGATTTAACCTTCCCCTTCAACACAGCCCTGACTTTTTGCTGCTATTTATATTTTAAAAAGACATTCCAACTGGTTCTAATGGTAGCTTTGCTTCCAATACAACCAAGCAGGTGTGTTCTTGCAAAACCTGAATCAGGATGGCTGTGTGGACAAAATGATAACATTCCTCCATTACTCTAATCTCTATTCCAACCCACCTTGCAGCTACCAGTTACTTAACAAGAAATACTTGTTTCTGAAAATGCTAATTGCACGAATATTCCCTTGAAGTCATTGCAGACACTGAACAAGCAAAGAGTTCAACAAAAATTGAATGACTTCCTTGGGCACAAGTGTTTCAGAATGAAGCATATGCACAGGCAATTCAAGCAGTTCTTGCTCTCCACTCATGCCTTCAATTTTTTTTTTCTTTCCAAGTTTACACATAAGAGTTGTGTGAAGTGAGTGGGAGAATAAGATATCCTTTCTAATAGATTCTACCAGTTTAGATCAAGTCACCAGGAATTACCTTACTCTTTCCTTGGGATCACCAAAAGATTCTCGAAGGCGGGAGAAGTCAGGGTAGAAATGTGGCGAAGGGGAAATAACTTCTAGAAGACCAGAATGTATTTCATTGGGGAATCTGAGAGAGAAAGAGAGGAAACAAGGCAAGGGAATCATTGTCACTTTCTGCAAAGAGGAGAAAGCAATCTAACACTGGTGATTAAGCCTAGAAATCATGGCACACCACAGGGAAAAGCAACAGTAAAAAGCTCTGGGCAAAAGCCTCTACACGAATTGCTGCACTTTTAGGTCCTATTCTAAGCAAAAGAACATCAGCAGGGGTATCTGTTGCCATTTGGGAGAGTTTTTTTTTTAAAAAAGCCCTTCCCTTTCTCAAAAATACCAGGGCAGTTGGAAGCTGATTTTTCTGCCCCACTAGGGCCTCCTGACTTGCCAGTGTTGCTCAATATTATTTTAAATATTTAAACATTAGGAAGAACAACCTTCAGAACATGGCCAAAGAGACCGAAAAACCCACAGCAACCATTTTAAGTACTCTTTTGCAGATTGTACAACAATGCCCTGACCATGATAAAAGGCAGCCAAATCTAAGAGCACTCTAACTTCTAATTAGGCATTTTAATATATATATTATACATTTATTTATTTTATATTTGTGGGTTGGTTGGGATTTTAACTGTCCACAGTAGTGGCAAGGCTGTTAGATGGCATGGAACATATTTTCTAATTTATATTATACCAGCATAAATCCAGCAGCTCATTCATCAAAAAGCTCTAGAAAATGCACAGGAAAAGCAGAAGGCGGGTAAGGTCAGATCTCAACCAAATTCACATAACAAGGAATGCTTGCAGACTTCTCCGCAGTTGCTCCAACTCTATGGAATCAACTTGTTAACCCCAGAATTAGGGGGCAGAACTCCAGCGAAGACAACAGACTAAGATGCACAACAACCAGCTGCTGATAAAGCCAATTTATTGATAAACACAGCTAGGGCCCTTCATCTTAAAAGCAGAGAAGAGCCCCGATTAAAGGCCAACATCAGTATTATATAGGATTATACACAAAGAGCCATAAAGAAAGTGTTCTGATTGGTGCCTTGAACCTGCAAATTTGGATCCTCCTGTCCATTGGTCAAAGAAGTTCCGTAAGCCCGACCCATCGGTCATAGTTGTGTATCCCTATAGTGCCCCCGTGTCCCCTTGACCTAAGGGTCATGATATACCCCAAAAGAGTCTATGTGTCTGCTTGAATGTTCCTATGTTCTCCTTATCTCCTTTGGTATGTTTATGTAACATTCTCTGAGTCTTCCTGGGCCCCACTATATGGCCTTCAAGGAAGGCAATTTCTCTGGTGGTGTCAAAATGCAGATGGTTTATCTACCTCCCTACGCATACCACTTGTACCCATTTATCTCTCAAATGGTCTTCCAAACAACTATGTTGATGAAATCGAAACCCCATTTGTTGTGAGAAACGAAACCTAAATGTCCTGGGGCCTTATCTCTTCCTGTAATTCCAGCTAGAAGGCCACTAGGGCTATTGAATCCAAGTATGCTTTGATATGCAAGAATGTAACATGATGGGTGTAAATGTAGTTGGCACAAAGGTCAGGAGGTTTTGAGCAGGGTTCAAAAGAAGCCAGAGAAAGGCGAGGAAAGAAAGATGCATATACAATCTATATACCTATATATATATATATGGAATGCAAATGCCAATATAAGATATCTACTGCCTGATGCTGATTACATAGCATAGGCATCCTTCAGTCTCAAGAGACTATGGTAACATGCTCTGAATCGAGGAGTGTCCTCTCCAGCGCATGAAGCCCGGGTAAGGTAATATGGAGGATAGGCTGTTACCCAAGCGGCAGATCCCCCCTCTCCGCATTGCTGAAATGGTCGAATGGAAAGGCAAGAGCCAATACAACTGGTTCCAGCAATGTTGCAGGAGTTGGCAGAACGACACGAGCTGCCTTCGGGACTCCAGCTCTGGATTTTGCCTCGAGGTTAACTCCTGAAGCCTTCTCCATGAGTGGATATAGCCACAAGGCAATGAAGGTTTGAAATCGGAGTTTTCCTTCTCCTGACTATATAGTGCACAACATAATATTGAAGGTAATATGAATTACACAGGAGTCACAAGTCAAACATAGAAATAGCGTAGTGAATACAAGAGTAGCCATACTCAACGTGTGTTACACAAAGAATCAATGATGGCCTGGTCTCAAACTCCTGGAAGAGCTACTGTACACCTGGCTGCTTCCCTTCTGCCATTTAGAAGAAAACTTAAGACATTTCTCTTTAGGGAAGCCTTTCATACTGATATAGGCTGTAAAACTAGTCTGATACCATTGGGTTTTGATATTGTTAGTTGAAGCTAGAACCCACATACAGTCCAAACCTGCATCTGGAGATTCACTTTTGAACTTCATGCAATATGTTCAAAACCATTAGTACTCCTAGGGTGACACATTTTGGATCAGGCTGCAATCTAGTACTGGATCTTAACTGAGAACCAAAAGTCTAGAATGGACACATTAATCTGGAAGTTAGTGGTGTAAGTGTGCATGCATGTGCATGGACTTAAGTTAACAGCAGTCCCTGTTCATAAATGTTTTGATAGATGTTTCCTGGTCTCTTTTATTTCTGATTTAAAAGAATGAAAAACCTGTGAAACCTTATTACTGTATCTACATAACATCCATAAACAGGACTCTGGGCAATAATATTGAAGAGGCCATAAACAGGACTATAAAACATTTGTTTGACCATCTGCACATCCAGTTATGGTATCCACAAAATATTTAGCTGGAAGGGGTTCAAGAGAATAGCTTATGCTTCCCCCATAGAAGAGCACAAGTGATGTGGTCCCCAATTGGTTTCACAGCCCTTGGGCACCTCCCAGTCTCTTCACTGGAGAGAAAAATAAAATCAGTGAAAAAGGAAGAAGCACTGCTCCATGAATCACTTAGGGGCAATTAGTTTTCCCTTAAACATGCTTCAGCTCCTCCCTCTTTTTTCTCTTTTTTTGAAGGGAATGTGTTTTTGCCAAATTGTGAAAATAGGGAAAAAAATGGAAGCAGCAGGAGAGTCCCACAGAGTGAGAAATTGGGCCCTCAAAGCTTGCCCAGCCCTGCCCTTTGGGAGGGTTATCTGATCTTTTAATATTCTGATAGGCTTCCCCTGCTTAGTCAGAGCTACCATATTTTAAAGATATGGTTCAGTGAAGGGTAGGCTAAAAGGATCTTTATCAAGAGATATCTTTGCATTTATGTAACTGAAAAGACATTTTTCAGTTACATAAATACATCAATGGCTATTTGAATCTAAACAGAGCTGGGGGGTTTTCCTAGCACTCTAAACCAGGCACCAGTTAACAACATTTACATACAGACAGTTTTATCATTTGCCCTAGAGTAATGCATATCAGCCCATCAACTGCTTAGAAGATAAACAGAATCAGGTGGCAGGACAGAGGAACAAAAAATTAACTTCTGTATCTATATTCAGACTCATTAAAACCAAACAAACCCCAAACCATTTCCTGTTGACAATCTTGGGTTGCTTTAAATTAATCTTCTTTCTTCAGTATTTGAAAGGGGGGGGGCTTCTTATAGCCCATGCTGTTTGCTTGATACAGGAGCAATTGCTTTTCCCTCTAAGCCATCTAAGCTAAAGATCGCATTTGTCTCCCTTATGTCTCCCTTTCTCATACACTTCTGCCCATTCAATTTAAGGGAGATGAAACAAGCAATTTTCCTGGGGATGGAGAAAACAAATCACTAAGCTGATTACATTTCCGGCACTTGATAGAGGGCTACTTCCTTCAACAATGACCAACAGTTTCATCAGAGTCCACTACTCAGTCAGTCCTGTTATCTTTGGACAACTGTGTGCTTTTGCCAAGAGCCACAAAAGGAGGGCCAGGCTCCACACAGTGAAACACAAGTAAGGATCTCTTTTATAGCACAGAAAACCCAGGGGCCCTTTCTTCAGCTTTTAGAGTGGCCATCTCTCTCACACACACACCTGTTTGACTCACAAGGAAGAGCTTTAGCTAGCAGGTAACGGCAACCTCCCATGTGTCACCCCCAACAAGTCTCAATCTTAGCCGTTGCTGCTAATAGGCAACCTGCAGAATGCAGCGGCAGTAATGAAGTCGGGGACTCTTCCACCACTGTTATCATCTGTAACTTCTATCCTCCAGGCTCTGATGCTGCTAATTCCTGCTCACTGTCTTTTAGAGGTTTGGTCATAATTAAATACAATCCACCAGAGTATCTTATCCAAAGCCTTAAAGAAAAACAACAAAGTCAGACTGATGAAAAACCCCTGACATGGCAAAATACAAGCACACAAACACACACACCTCCAAGACAGAAATTAACTGTTAAGTCAACATGGAGCACTGGAGAAATCAGAGCTGCAAACCTGACAGGGGTGCAAGGGAAGGAAGAGAGAGAGAAAAAGAATACAACTAAAGGTAGTAAAGGGCATCAGGGAAGCAAGGTTGATGACAGCCAGAATGGAAACAAACCCCAAAGACTCCACTGAAAGACTTAGTTTGATTTCAGGTCAGTCCTGCCTATCACCACCTGCCTCTTCTGCTATAAACAGAGTGAAGGTGGAACACACCTAACAAGCACACCCAGGTAAATCTTAAGTAAAGATGAGAATATTCTTATTCGAATATTCCTGAGCAGGTGGCGATAACAAGGGTCCAGCCCCATAGGGCTGGATGGTGAGTAGACCATCCATGGGGCTGGACGGTGTACTCACCGATCTGCTGCGGAGGCAGACGCCGTGATTCTTCCAATGGCTCTTCAGATCACGAACTACGAGCCACTCTTCAACCTTGTAGCGAGGCTTGTCCTCCCACTTCCTGCTAAGAGTGGCTAGCTGATTGAGATCTGCGGAGCGACTGGAAGAATTATAGCCTCCGCAGCAGTGACAGATTGGTGAGTGGACCGTCTAGCCCAGGGGTCTCAAACATGTGGGGCCATTTGCGGCCCCCTAGATGATAGTTTGTGGCCCTCACCTTGCCTGCCCCCCAAAGCGGCCACAAATCCTCTGCTGTCAAGAGTAAAAAAAAAGCTTTGCCTTGCTCGCCGGCTCTCTCCCCTGACAGCACCTCATGCACCCTCCATCCAGAACTGCAGCCTGCCAGCCAGCCCACCTGTCTGTAAGCTAAGGAAACTCCTGGGCGGCTTCCTCGAGCTCTTGCTGCGCTTGGCGGAAAATCTGATGCGGCCCAGCCTCACCCAGACTCAGCCTCTAGCGGCCTCCAGGTAAATTGAGTTTAAAACCCCTGGTCTAGCCTCATGGGGCTGGACCCCCGTTATCACCACCTGTGTATGGATATTGGTATTTGTATACAACTACGAATACCCCCATCTCTAATCTTAAGTCAGCAGTACCTGCCATACAGCCCACCAGCAGCATAAAGTCAGACCACAAACCACACAGTACATGATGCTGTTCTAAATAATCAGTCAGCCAACAGCCTGAGAGAAACAGTGGGAAAATAAAGGGATACCAAGATTGGTTTTGTGGCTGATGCAGACTCATAACAGGAAAAGAAAGGGTATCTGATGTGGAGACTCACTGTATAGACTTTATTTAAAATTTAAAATTTATTTTACAACACTTTTCACATTAATTTTATTAATAGAAAAACAAATTTGTATTTTTTTCATATAAATAGTAATAGCAATAAATGACAGAAGAACAGTGTTCTTACAGGCTTTTTATATTCTCTGCCACTCCAGTTGTATATTGTGGATCTGTCTGCAAAGGAAAATTAAAAAGAAAAAGAGAATGAGCACATGTAGCTATAGGCAGTATTCAGTAAATTTATTCTACATCTAAATCACCCTCATTACACCAGTTGCCTTATTTTTCCCCATCTCTTTTGAACACCTACTAGATATACTGTACATCACCTGCAAATTCCTTATTTCAGATGGTCATTAACTCTATCAAATTATACAGTACTCTACTGTTTTACTAAGATCAACATGGTCCTCACAACCTGAAAACTGATATTTGGCAACTTTGTTCCCAAGATAAGAACATGTTTGTATTCAGACATTTTTGTTAAGAATGGCTTTGAAGCTATGAGAGAGAAATGTTTTACCAAAAAAAAAATCATTCTGCTTTAATAGCTGAGGGTGTGCTCAGATGGTGAGAAAAGTGCATATTGGCTCGTGCCAGAAAGGGCCACTGTGCCAGGAGTGATCCCCCTTAAAGTAACACTAAATCACTAAATCACTCCAGCCTTGCCCTCCAAAATAGTAGCCCTACTGCTGAAGCAAAAAGGTCCAATTTGGCCATGGGCTGGAGCACTACTATCCATAGATCCTTTGATCACCCAGAAATAGCTAACACAAGTGGTCCAAAATCTGAACTATATGCCCATGTGATCACACTGTCAGTTTCTTCAACCCAGTGGTTTTCATGAAAAAGATTTTCATAAACTAGTCCATCAGGCAGATCAGCTGCCTCAAACACACCATGAACAAAGGATTATCCTAAACAACATTTTCAGAACTGAGGCACCCTTTAGCTTACAAGGTCACAAATTCTGAACCTCTCTTCTATTTCTACGCAGTTATCAGTACACTTTTAATGCTCTACCTTTCATTTGTTTTATTTCATTTATTTTAAACATTCCTACACTATTCTTCATCCAGTATGTCCAAGGGCAGTAAACAATAAATATCTGACAAAACATTAAAATATACATCAAAAGTATAATAAAGATGATAAAACATGGCAGCAACTAAAGGCACACATTAGAATGCAGCCTTTCTCAAAATAAAATGCCTGAAAAAAATAAAATGGTAGGTACCTAAGAAGACTGCGATGGGAGTATGATGTGTGAGTGCATTTGTGTTCTTGCAGAATAACTGGCAAAGGAAAATTCAGCTCCTAAGTCTGTTCCTGTAAAACTGCCTGCGTACTTGTTCTATTTCTTTAGACAGAAATATGACAGCCTCTATAAAGTTCTCAGAAGACTCACAAAATTTGGTTAAAAGCTAAAGGACAAAATGCCTTGTCAAAGTCTGCCCATCAAACTCCTTAAGATTGCTGGGCATGTCACTTTTCCAACAGTTTGTTTCCATGACCGAAAAGCATGTACCAGGCAGTAAATAAAGTACAGTGTTAGTGTCTTCTTTGCAACAAGAAGCCAATGCATGGAGATGGGAAAATACAAAAATGTAATCTTGAACAAAAATGCTAGAAAAAGGAACCTGGAAGGAGACATTAGGGGCTGCTGTTCTCTCAGCAATAATGTGCTACTGGAGTTGGAAAGGAAAACAAATTTATTTCAGTCTTGAGACAAATAATTCCTGTGGGAATGCTACAAGAAAACCCATAAACATTGTGTAAACAAAAGTAGCCGTGGTATGTTAACTTGCTACAGTATGGTCATTCCAACCCAGAATTCAGAAAAAGCTTCTGATGAAAGGCATTAGCATAGCAAAACAAGACTCAGTTTAGTTGAGCTTTCTGTTAGGATACCTAATAGGGGATGGTAGCAAATGCACATATTCCTGATAGAAAATTGTAAAGGCAAATGTCCTACTAAGTCTCTTTTTCTAGGGAGTTCGGTCAATGGCTGCCTTGCATTCTTTAAGGGCAGAGGTTCAACAAGTCAAGCGAAATTTAAATTAAAAGGATGTACACAAGGGCCAGCTTGGCAACAGCTACACAGACTTCTGCTAACATATTTACCCTCCACAGCTGAGTGCAGCCAAGCATTGTTTCACATTGGAAACAGCTCGCTGGGCCCCATTTGTGGGATGTGCCCAATGATCCTTGTCGGACAGCAGCCTGAGGTTAGACTTATCTCCGGGTGCCAAAGAAGGAGCTGGCCTACAGCCACATAGCGATACATCCTGCTGTTTTATGACTTACATATAGCCTCCTGGATCTGCATCACGTCCCTGTCAGACACACAATAAAGGGACACAGAGCTAGCTAGCAAGGATAGATTAAAAGATGGAAAAGAATTATTTTACCTCAGCAATCAGGACAACAATGACAGAGTCTTCCTTCTCCTGCTGATTGAGCTCTGAGATCAGAGAATTAAGGGTATCTGTCAGGTAGGAATGTACCTCCCGCTTGACACTGGGGATCCCCATGACTACTGATACTGTAATGGAGGGGAAAAAAGTGTTTTTAAAGTCTGGAAAAATTTAGTTTAACTTTCTCACCATCTTACACGTCCCTCCTCAAAAGGGATCCACAATCTTTTTCTACCTGTTTCCAACCACATTTTCCATGCATTTAGAGAATAACCCTAGAGAAATAACTGATGGATGTCAGAGGTAACCATATAACTATAATAAAAACTGGCCCTCTAACAATACAATTGCTTTTGACTTAAGGAAATTGTCAAGTGTTCAGGGAATGAACAAGACAAATGTTTTATATATGGGGGTATTACATTTATTTTGTCAGGTAGAGAATTAAGCAGATCTTCCAAAAAACCCTGAGTACCAACATAGTTTTCCTGAGACAGTACCTGTGTGGAGGTGTTTTAATGAGCAGGATCATGTGCTCAGAGTTGTACAGGCCTTCCTGCCTGAATGTACCACACCATGGGTAATAGATAGATAAGCACTCAAGTGGTGCAGTTCCCACAATTAAAAAGGAACAGAGCAATACCTAAGCCACATTGTTTCTAGAAACTTAATCCAGCATTTTCTGACTGGAAGAAAAAAATAAATAAAAACAGGAGCAGCAACATCCTCCTGTACAGAGATGCCTTCAGCTGGAACAAGCTATTTTCTAGAGCTTATCAAAGTAGCATTTGTATGAAACTTTATCTGTCAGTCTTAGGGTCTATTCACACAGCACTACTGTCAGCTGGAGGCTGCTTATAAACCACTCCATGATGGAGACAGTCACCAAGTGACTTAACAACTCAGCAGGAGCAATGTTCCTCTCTTGTGGTTGTAGGAATCAGAAATGTTTATACTAGTGCAAAGAGAGAGCAAAAACAAGTTGCTTGACTTTCTTGCCTGTCTTCACCCCTTAGTTAGGTCTGTGAACAAGTAAACTGAGCAAAGCCAAAAGTGCAGGGAAATGACCTAAAGAACAGTAAAAAGCCAATGCCTGCTTACCTCCTGTGCGTCCCTGTCCAACATGCACAGCTGGCTGCAAGCTATTCTCCTTCGACAACAAGTGTGGCAAATGATGAAAGATAGTGGGGAGATGCAGCACATTCTTGTTAGTGATATTCCACAGTTTCAATTTTGTTTCATCTGACAAGGGGAAAAGACATATGTAACCATCCTGAGGCTGTAAAGCTTTACGAGGAACATTCACTTCCTAGCACCATCTGGCCAGCAGAGATGATCACTTAACTTTGGTTAATCAGTCCAATCTTCTTCACTTGTATCCACTAATCCCATTAAGTTTAGCAGGAATTACTTAGGGCTCAAGACAGATAAGCAAGCCCCTATCCTGCACAAGTCTTGTAAGGCAAGGAAAATAAAATTAGATCAAACCTCTGACAAAAAGAGTTAAATTCACACCTAGCATTTGCACTTCCATCAAATTTGCACTTTTATCCAATTGCCCTTGGAGAGACATTCTAAATCCATGCCATCCATGCCATGCCACTGAATAACCCCACCCGTGATCAGAGGGTTCAAAAGCCAAAGTCAGTGTTCAACAAAAGTTCAGAATGCCATCGTTTAAAAAACCAAGTGTAATTCATACGTCATTGCAAAATGGGATTAAAAAGAATCTCTTATCCCTGATGGCTGTAGTTTACAAATCTTTATAAATCATGAAACACCAACCCCACCTCCATGTCCACTCCTACATTTTCAGGATGATACCTCTCTGAGACTTTTATGAATCTCCACCAGGGGATGCTAAAGCAGCAGAGGTCATATCCTGCACCAAGCCTCTGCTTCCAAGCTTGGCCCGTAAGCAGAGCTTGACAGGTTGCCTTTTCTTTTTTTGTAACAAAAATATTTCCAGAATCTTTCAGCCTCTGGCAATGCTGGTTCCAGGATCCTGAGAACTGTAATCCAGAAAAGTGACTTTTCCAAACTCTAGCTGCAAGGGACAGGAAAGGGCTTTTTGCAGAGGAGAGATGCAACCTTTTAATAACCGACTACAGGAAGCCAGAGCCATTGCAATGAGCAGAGCAGTCCTCAAGAAGTATAACGCCATGGAATGGGAGAAATGTTTCCCAAGCAGCAAAAGGATGCCAAGACAGGCCAAGGACCACATCTGGGACTCACAAGGGACAAACGCTGCGGGGAGCAGCAAATCAATAATTAGTCTGCCAACGACTAAGTGCTTAGAGGTGAGATTTTGTTTTCCTGGGTTTTCACAAACTGTGTTAACAGCAGCTGGTTAGCTCAAGATTACCAGAGCTTGGAAACTTTTTAAAAATTGTTATTATTATTATTAGTTTACTCCAGCAACCAGGATTCCTAACCAGCTATGGGATTTGTGTTCCCCAAAAAACTAAGCTTTCCAAACTTTGAAAGTTACTGTATGCTTTCTTTGGATTAAGGGTATTTTTCACCACATTCACATCACATCCCTTGTGAGCGTAAGATACCCAAAGCGATCTTTAAAGCTACCATGCTATCTCCCAGCAAATAACAATGTCAGACATATTTATGTACTCAGTGCCACATTCAGTGACCTGCTTCCTCCCGAAAGTCTGCCCTGGGAGGCACGCAGAATGCCTTTCTATCTGATGCTCCATGGTGAACATGCACACTTCTCCACACATTGTGAGCTCATCCTCCTAAAAACCTGGTTTACCAGATAAGCTGCTCCACGTCCGGTTTATATCCCGCAGGGCCTGCTTCTCCGAGATGGCTCGCTTTATTTCATCTAGGACAAGGTTCAGCTCCTTAGACCGCTTGAGGCTCTCTTGCTCAGCAGCGTGCAAGCGGTCTCTAAGTGCTAGGAACTCTCGCTGATAGATATCCACAACGTCACCTACAGAGAAGGGAAAAAAAACACGCCTTTATTTCCCCCCCTTTCTACTGCAAAAGAAAGGATTTAATTCTGATTTAACTAGATATATACTGCTAAAATAAATAGAATTCTTTACCAAGAAGGTCCTACACATCTGTTTTTGAAATATTTAAACACTCACACCTGCATTCATGATTAGTGCCTTTGGGCTAGAGTTCAGACAGTACAGATAATTTTAGAAGTAGCCAGAAGCAAAGTCACAGTTAAATGGTTTATATATAAACCAGATTCCTTTGAAAGTCACCTTGAATTGGAAGCCTGCTATATGACACACAGAAACTGCCAATTTTATTAAAACAATATCTACTAAGAAAAACAACAGGGAGGCGTGATTACAGGTATACATTTTGTTTGAAAAAGAGGTAGTATGCCAGATTCTTATATATACATTATGCCAGCACATAGACTGATTGTATAGGTGTAAACATGCTGATTGAGAGAATATGCTAGTGAAAGCATGATTGGACCAAAACTGATGTTTATCATCTTTGACTATTCCAAATAAATGCATACATGCAACAGAGTACACAGACAGCAACAGTATTCAACCACAAGTTGTTTTGGTTATATGAATATGGCTACATAACATGTAAACTCACGTACCAGCTTATCCACTGAATTTGATATAAGGTCATATTTGCATATTTATGTCCAAACCTAGTAAATATTGGGAGGCTAAAAATATTTCAGAAAATAACCAACACTGTTTGGTCTGATGTACCCAATTTCTTAAGAGTTAAGAACAGATATGGGCATGAACTACGGTTTGGTGGTTTGGCCCAGTTCGGTGTGACCCCCATGCAGGTGTTCCACAGGTGCCACCCACTCCCCTCTCTTGCCTCCTATGTGAACTCACCCATTCCCCGGCTGACGTGCACTTGCCTCCTCCAGCAGCTGCCCACTCAAAGGCAGTACTGCGGGCTTCCCTGCCTTGCCTCCTTGTCGGAGCGGGTGGCCGCTGGAGAAGGAAGGTGCACACAGTTATCAGTGAGTGGGCAACTGCACTGAAGACATGGGGAGGGAAGCATGCTTCAGCTGGGGAACGGGCAAGCGTGCAGAGAAGGCATGAGAGGGGAGTGTGCAGTACCTGCACAACATCTGTGCCGGTGCCACACTGTGATTCATGCTCAACTCCAGTTAAGAACAAGCCACAGACAATGTGGGAGTAGTGCACAGATAGAAAAGGACTCAGGAGACCCAGGTTCCAAGTCCTATTTGGCCATGGAAATACATTGTGGGGCAGCACTGGTAAAACCACTCCTTAAATATCTCACATACCTCGAAAACCCTACTAGGGTGGCAATAACTTATTGTGATGGCACATAACAAGAACAAGAAGATGGAGGAAGCAAACAAAAGAAAGAAAGAGAAAATAACACTTTATCATAAGTACATAATACTTTAGTTGTCATAAAATAAACTAGTTTAAGTAAAAGAAAATCCACCCTACAAATACTGTTCATGTGTGCTCTTTCAGGCTAGGCAATTCCAGGAAAACCTCACTTTGTAAAACCAAACTGGGGGGTGAGGGGTGGGCTGGGGGGGGGAAATAGGTTCAAAGTTACATCTGAAGCAAGGACTGATTTCCTTTTAGCTGCCCTAAACTTTTTAACTAGTTCCCAAACATTCAAATGGGGATTTCATTATGTGAAGTAATGTTGCTATTATTTCTATAGCAACCCACATTCCTGAGAGGAGCCACTAGAAAGAAACAAAAATAGCCTCTCCACCAAGAAATGGTTCTCCAGTTTGTTTCCCACACGTCTGATACACTCTGTACAAACTGGAAGCCAGTATTCCAGCAGGAAGCAATTGAGAGTGAAGGGAAAAATAATCAAAGAGGGATATACTGTATTAAGATGCTTGGCTAAAAGATTTGCAATGAAAGCCAGTGTCTGAAGGTTGAGGAACCTGGATTCCTTACAGCAAGGCCAGGAACAGGTTCAAAAGTCAGACCCACAAGGGCCTTCTCTCCAGCTGCATCCAAGTGGCCAGATGCTTCAAAACAGGCCTGCCTGAATAATTAAGGAAAGGATACAGGACCTCGGACAGTCCCCTTAGACAGATGGCACAAGGCGGCTCTTGGGAAAACAGAATCAATGGGATGGAGTAAGTATTAATTAGCAGTCTGTTAGGCATTTCCCTGGTAAACTATGCTCCTCTTGATTAGGATTAGCTGGAAGGACACTGCAAGCAAAGTCAAATTCATATTTTTTTAAGCAGGACATACCCAGAAGGCAGTGATGGACACAAACAGCTGCTCCCCCAGCCTGGACTTTCCCTCCCAGAGGCTTCATTTCTAGCTCATTCATTTCCTTGTTTCTTGTCTTAAATTCAACCATGAGTGAAGACAGCAAGATGACCTCTGCCCATATACTGCCTGGCACAGAAATCAGAGCTATAGCTCCTCGGTAGCCTGTACAGGCACTGGTTGTTCCAAGGGATGGAGCTTAATAAGGCACTTGGTAGAAACAAAACAGCAGCGAAGACAAGGGGGAAGCTAATGGGAGAGTAAACAACAGTTTTAATAAATGGCTCCATTCTCATAAACTGTCTCCAAGGTCTCTCCAAAATGCTGCTTTGCAGCATCCACCACTAATCACAAAGTTCCCAACATTATCTGTAGCTGAGTATGTGTTCCAGTGCTGAATGGGTGCTCGAACACTGGAGGCATTCAAAAGAAAATTGGGCAACCATCTGTCAGATCTGCTTTGAATTGGATTCCTTCACTGAGCAGGGGGTTGGACTCAACGACCTTACAGGCCCCTTCCAACCCAGCCATTCTATGGTTCCAAAAAGCTGAATCTCTTTGTGGCGCAGGGTGTGCTTGACCATGGATGACCCATACACTCACTGCAGAGCCACATTTCCAAGAGAAATATCTGAAGCAACTACTGCAGACTAGGCAGACACTCTAAAGCAGTGATCCCCAACCTTGGGCCTCCAGATGTTCTTGGACTACAATTCCCAGAAGCCTTCACCAGCACTTCTGCTGGCCAGGATTTCTGGGAGTTGAAGTCCAAGAATATCTGGAGGCCCAAGGTTAGGAACCACTGCTCTAAAGGGAATGACTGTACATTGTATCTTGTAGAAAGGCATTCAGACATCATCATTCCCACTCTGTACCTTTTCTTTGTAGGGGAAAGCTCACGTTACCACGGGCTGTAGATCTATTAGTAAAGTCAAGCCTGTTTTTGGATCCCACTAGATAAAGCAGCCACTAAGTACTTACTGATGGCAAGGATAGGGGCTTGGGCATGCCAAAGGAACAGGTCTTTACAGGCACAAGATATTCAGTTGTCCAACTGCCGGCTACATCAATTAACAAGGGAAACACAGATTCAGAGAAAGATAGCAAATATATGCCTCTTGGCATAAACTTTCAAGACAATAACAGCAACATATACTTACACAGAATGACATAAGACAGCAAATAAAAGCAAGTGGCAGGAATTTAAATAAAAACCAATACTCAAAAGGGCACAACAAGAAGTGGTCACTTGAATGCTTCTGTTATAGGTGGATCTCAAGCCTCATCACAAACAATGCCTTCTTTCTAGTGAGAAGCTTTGCCCTGAATGCAAGGTCATTGACTTCAAAGCAAAAGTCCAAAGCTGTTTTCTTTTTCTTTTTAAAGAAGCAAAGAACACGTGCACACCCTATTGCCTACAACACATTTTTAAAAAAGTATAATCTATCGATATGTCGTTTTATCATTTAATTATTTATATTAATAAAATTTTCAGTATCCCTAAATTATATCTGGCATGTAAACAAATCAATAAAAATTACACGCTACAGGTAGGAAAATCACTTTCAGCAAATTTATTCCACTAATTTTAGTGTAATTAGTCTATATCCTCTAATTTTTAAGAGAGAAAAAATCCATTTCATATATGGCTCATATCTGGGTTTACATAGTTTATTGCTAACAAAAAAACCAGGAATCAGCTATGCTACATGGGCCCTAAACATTGCAATGGTTCATTCTCAGAAACATTTCAAAATGCCCCTCACTACGCTCATTGTCAATCCTATTCCATGGTTTAGACTGCTATTCTTCCAGAAGCAACTGTGTGCCGATGCACAGCTATTTACTACCTTACCAGTGTACTTCCTCCTTTTCTCCTCAGCTTTATTTAAGGCATGAATTCAAAACCTGTTGCATTCCACATGTTGTTCTACTGTGACTCCTGCCTTCCCTCCTTACTGGATATGGTGACTGTGGATGGCAGGAGGGACATGGGAAGAACATATGGAAAGGCATACCTTCCCCATCACAGAGAACTTCCACTTTCTTCCCTTATCTTCCTTTGAAGGTTCTCCTCCCCCTTCCCCCATTCTTCTGCATTACAACGGCACATCTTCTAACTCTCTGTGGACACATCCAGCACTATTTAGAGATCATATATATATACAGAGGCTCACATTCAATATTCAAGCCCACCACAGCAGCCCCAAGTAGAGAACACCTCTACAACATATCAAGTAGTGAAAAAAGAAAACAGAAGGATGGAAAATGTTAATGAATGCAACACAAGGACACTGGTTCATATCAAGTCTTTCAGCACCACAGCAGTCATGTTGGGTGAACCTTTGAGGATGATACTCTAGCTTTTCAGATGACTATCTGTTATTATAGCCTATCATTATTCAGCTTTGCAGATCTTTTTTAAAAGGAAAATAACAATGCAACTCAAGGAAAGCCATTGTCAATTCTAGCAGATTCAAATTTGAAGGTATACTAATCGTATCTAGTTCAGGTCCACCATCTTCTCTCCCATAACGTTGTGGAGTGGGGTGATGGAATCTGTTTTCACCAGAAGCTGGTGTTCCACAGCATTTATTAGCTAGAATTATAATCTTAACCGCCCTTCTAATTGGAACATACCTACCTTTACATTGTAAAGGGTAGGTATAAATACCTTTTCTATTTTTTTTATAGAAAAAGACAAATTACT